GTGTGAGTGCTGCACACCACTGGATCCATACTGGCAAAACTTTGCCAGTGTGGTCATAGCACTCAAACACATGTGTTGCTGCGTTTGTTGGTGGATGTAGAACTGCTTCACCTTTCTAATTTGGTTAGATACCTGCGCAGCGACACTGAGGATCCTGCGGCTGGGTCAGCATCACACTCAGCAGGAGGAGTAGAAACCTCGGGACAGGCCAGGTATGCTTTTCGTTTTTATGTTACCCACTAGCACAAGAAAACCTGCGTTACAAGTTTCCACATACAAACTATTGGTGGGTTTCTCTCTCACTCTGTGTAGGTCCATTTCCACAAAGCGCCTACCACTCCGAGAATGGGATGCCTTCCAGCGGACCTTCCCAGTAACCCTAAATGGAGAGCCACCTTCAAAACGCCGGTGTGTACAGGCTGGTTTTCCACACTACCGAGCCCACTACAAAAGGTGGAGGGAGCTTCAGCTTAAGCAGAGAGTTCAGCACATCCTCGGTAAGCCCGTCATGCTAATGGATGCTCTGCCTCCATTATTTACAGCTCTAATATATACACATAGCTCAGCAATACTTCACATCACAGAGGTTCAAATATATATGATTGACTCAGATGGTTGATTTGCAGTATTCCTCACGCCTCGCTCTGGGACAGGGTGTGCCAGAAGAAGCAACGCCCCTCAGCGTGCAAGAGTACAGACGGCATTAGATAAGGAGACCTGGAGCACCAACAAGCCCACTGTTGATGCCGTCCTACGGGCCTGGGTTGCTCCACAGCCCAGGATCCAGGACAGCCCGTCCCTCATGTCCTCGATTTCAGAGCAGAAATGGAAGGGCCTGGCTTTGAAGGACTTCGGGGAGGAAAAGGGCAAAGGTAAATGCACCTATCGTTTGGACCACACCCTCGTTTGACAGCAAGTCAACATTTCTAAAGAGCTTATGATGACTTCCTGTTTGCTCACAGGTGTCATCGCCCTGATGCCCTTCAACAAAGGAGACGTCGTCTGCGACTACCACGGGACGTGCATCACCAAAGCTGCAGGGAATCAGAGGCGGCAGTCAGGGTCTCTCTTCTTCTACAGGGACGAGTGCCACAGGGCTGATGCCACTGCGTCCCCCTGTGCCTGCCACCTGCACAAGGACTCCTATGGAAGGCACATGAACCATTGCCAAAGGAATCCAAACGTGAAGCCACAAAGGTTCACCATGAACTTCCCTGCTGGTCCTCGGGAGAGTGTGCTGTTCATCGCCCTGAGGGACATCGCGGTTGGAGAGGAGCTCCTGTGGGACTATGGAGTCTAGAGATGGCACCGTGTTTTATGTCCCATATCCTACATTTGGATTTCTGCCCACACCGACATGACTCCAATAGAGTGTATTTTATAATCAATAAAACTGTGTGTTTTTTTTAATATATTGCTGTGTTTTGTATAAGTTCAAACTCAAACTAAAGCTGTCCTGTTATATATCTTTCTCAGAGGTGAAATGCCGGTTGACTCGGTCCATCACTGATGGAGTCTCCCATAAATCCTTTGGCTGGACATTTGACTTGTCTTTATTTTTCCTTTGTTTGATGCTTTGCTTGGCTTTTGTTGTCTCTGACCTTTTCTGATTAAAAGAAAATTGAGCTCACAGGACACCATGTTGCCTCAGCTGATGCAGTCCTCTTTGCAATAATGTTTATTTCCAAAGGAATTTCTAGAAATTCAGAACAGTAAAATTCACAGAATGAATTAGAAGATAACTCTTATGTAGTTAAACTAAAATCCTCTGTGGGGGTTAGTATATAAACTCTTAACACCTAGTTAGCATTAATAAGTGTTAAATTATCAACTCCAGACAGATTTGGTATTCAACACTAATCATGAGTTAAGTACCAACTCTCCAAAAAGAGTTAAATTACTTAGTTGAATAAGACGCTTTAAAAGAGCTGAAATCAAATCTGACAGTCGTTCATTGGACATGTTGGATTTGCTGTGTGGTAAGGCACCTGGGCCAGATGGCTTTCTGACTTTACAAAACCTTCCCAGAAAAAAGAATATTGCCTCTTTTTAACATGTATGTAGAAGCATATCACACGGAGGCTCTCACCGCACTGTTGAGCAGGCAGTGAGTACTGAGAAACCTGCTAAACCTGCAGAACACTCATCATTTAGAGTCTGACGGGGGTTGACACTAAAATACTTTAAATGTTTAGCATGAAGATCGGAGCCTTGGATCCCACATTTGATTCACTTTGTACCAAAGCATCAAGGGTTTCACAATATAAGAAGGGTTCTCATATAATTCATGAGAGATGTGATGCTAACGATGCAGCTTTATTATCACTGGACGCTCGTCAGGCCTCGGACAGAATAGATTCATTTAACGTTCTCCCAAGATATGGATTTGGAAATCTTTTTCTCAGATGGGTTCAACTTTTGTAACAAACAATAGTTTCTAAACCCGTCACATTGGAGCGTTCCACTCATCAGGGGTGCCCGTTATCTCCAATGCTATTTATTCTGACTGGAACCTCTGGTGATGACACTTAGAATGAGAGCTGTACTATTTGGTTTCCAGTTAGGAGATCGAGAGCAGAGATTGGCCCTAGGCCCTAGACTAGGCTGTCTGTTAGCAAAGTTGCAAAATTAATGCTACAAATGGAGCTATTTAGACGATTTTCTGGCTATAAATGATTCAAAATCCTCCTCCGTCCTATTCCTGAACAAGGATGAAAGGTTATGCAAAGTTTTTATATTGAGTCACTTCCTCTGCCTCCTCCAAAAGAATCCTTTCAGAAGTTAAACGATATCTTTAATTGGTTAATTTGGACTAACAAAGGTCCTAGATGAAGACTTGGCTTGTTGTGCCTGCCATATGAAAGAGGGGGTTACAATTCTCTGATCTTAAACTGTATCACTGGTCTGCACAGGTGCGCTCAGCCACGCTCTATTTTTCCACTGAGACACCTGCAGCCTGAATAAAACGTGAACAAAAAACAGCGACAAACCTTCAGTTTGATCTGCATCTATGCTCTGCAAGCTGAATATATATTATTTTATTTTATTTTAAAGTTTCCACTTGACAGAAATGTGTTTTTGTTTAAGATTCCCGAGGTTCGCACGGTGTCATCCTCCTGAAAAGGAAACACCTTGTGGCGTCAGGTGAGCTGCATAAGGTGCTGTCAGTCACATGACCCTGAGCCTCAGCAGGAAGTCTGACCCCTTCATAATAAAAGCATGTTCTTCACCTGCACTAATCAGGCTGAGAACACGCTGGGCTGGAGTCAGGTGATCTACTTGTAGTTCAAACACAGCTGTTTCCTTTCCTGAGTTCTTATCACATCTCCTAAACACATTTCCTCCACCTCAGAACGTTTCTATCAAGGAAAAGTGCTTAGGAAAGGAGGTAGGAGACCACTGAGTGTGTGTGGACGTAAAGGGCTTTTATTGTGAATTGCCGTTTAAAGTTGTTCCGCACATGCGCGGTAGAGATCCTGCGTGAGCAGAGACTAGTCAGTTTAATAAGTTTGATGCTTTGTTTAAAATACAGAACAAAAGTAAACAAAGTAGGACGGTAGGGCATCATGGCGGCTTTATGAACGGTAAGAGGCGGGAACACGGCGGCGACGGTCAGAGGGAGGACATCAACAGGAGGAGGACCGGAAGCTGTTTGAAAGCCGTGAGCGGGAGTTTGTCAGCAGGGGGAGAAACCGGCACCCGGAGCGAAGACATGGACCCCCTGCAGGAGCTCCTGGACCGGGTCAAGCCCAGCACCGAGGCGGTGAGTCCCAGACTGACCCTGTTTGCCCGAACTGAGCGATAAATAACAGTCTACGTACACGCACAGCCCTGCGTACGTAGACTGTCTGCGTCATGACGTAAGGCAGAGCAGCAGCCAATCGCTGTTTCGAGCTAATTCTATAGCAGAAATCCACACAGAAAAGAGAATATAAGGATGTGAGCCTGTTCTACATTTATTATTGTGACCTCCGACCTGCTGCTTTGTTTCTTTAGGAGTCCCTGTGGTTAAAGAACATCTTCACCTCCATCTCTGAACACCTGAGTCCTGTGGTGTGTAGCTCCGCCCCCTCGCAGACAGGTGAGTTCCTCTTTGTTTGAAACAGCTGGCTGATAAATCAGCTGTACTTTAAATCCTTAATGACGATGTTCACTTATGAAACCAAATACTATTTAAACCATTATTTAAACAGTGAAAGCAGGGCTCACCTGCCCTCACAGGTGTCATCAGAGCAGTCCAGTGTGTAGATGTGAGTGTGGTTCAAAGGTCAGAGCCATGAAGGTGACCGACTGTCAGTGAGGAACAGGGAGGACTAAGAGTCTGAGGATGAAGAGCAGCTGCTTCCTCAGGTGGTCCCACCTGTTGACACACCAGCTCTGGTGTCCACTTCAGGTGTTCTCAGTGGGCGGGGCTTCAGTTGTTTATGTTTGTGTTTACCCTTTAAACGTTGTTTTCCCAGGTAACCACGGTGACCTCAGCCTCTTCGATCTGAGCATGTGTGCGGTGCAGGCGATCCAGCATCAGATGTGTGTGGCCCACAGCTTACCTGTCAGCTACAGGTAACGCCCGCTGACATCATCGCTGTAGCAGGTCACGTGACGTGGCCTTACCGCTGTCCTCCCGTCTGTCCGCAGGCTGCTGTCCGTCTCCCAGCTCGTCTCCCAGCAGCACCTGGCCTGCGTCAGCAACCTGTCCTGGAGCACCAATCAGCAGAGAGCCTGGGCCAGGGAGGCGGAGCTCGCCGTGCCGGGTCAGAGGGCGCTGCCGAGGGTCAACCTGCTGCTGATTGGCTGTCTGAGAGAAGGCCCTGACGGAGAGTACAGGCTGACGGACGCCAGCGGCAGCGTCATGTGTGTGGTGAGTCAGAGGGGGAGGAGCCTAACCTTAACCCATGGTCCATCAGCTGGTTAGTTCTCAGGAGCTTCTTCACAGCAGCGTCACTAAACCGGATCTGGTCAGAACTGATGGTAACGAGGTCACAACAAACTGCAGGCGTTCATGTGCAACGTGAATGAAATCGAATTCCTCTTTAATTCAGCTCATTCTCTGTGCAGGGACACAAGTGCTGATAGAGTCTGGTCATCACACGCTTCTCTGCTGATGTTTACATCAGCATGAAACAAGCAAACAAGCTCAACAGCTGACTTTCATTTCTGTAACTCAGAAACATCAGGACTTGTTAAATGTGAGCTGTGTTTATATGGATTCACTTAGCTGATCGATAAGTAAGGATGTAAAGACAGAGTCTGTCAGCAAGTGAGTAACTGTGCTGGCACAGACGTGATGACGGCAGAGCTTTATAAAGATGTGGAGCCTCCTCCTCACATAAAGTATACAGATAGCATCACCTGCAGTAACCTGACAGATTACAGTCAGACAGCTGCAGCAGGCTCAGTGTGGTCCTGGCATCACCGCACGGATTAATGACTCACAGTACTTGAAATGTGCAATTCCCTTGTGTTCTTATTGCTATTTATTCTATTCTTCCCTTTTCTATCCTCTGTATTTGTATATGTGTATATTTCTGCTCACCTTCTGTAACTTCTGTCGGTGCTGGGCTGCTGGAAACCGAATTTCCCGGAGGAACGCAGCCGAGGGATCAATAAAGTTTAATCTGATCTGATCTAATCTGATCTGATCTGATCTACTGCAGCTATAAAACAAACGGCATCACTGCAGATCAGAGCTGATGAAGCTGTCATCATCAGTGGATCCACACTCCGCCACTCTCTCACCCGCGTCTCTCTCTCTCTCTCTCATCCAGTGCCTGTCTCTCTCGCCCCCGTGGCTCGATCGTCCCGTTTTCCTCCCTCACTGGAACTACATCCCCCACAATGCATCGGGCCAGGAAGAGGCCGCAGGCTTCTTGGAGCTGATTGGCTCCCCTGTCCTATTGTGTCCTGGTGCTGAGCAGAGATTGGCTGCTGCTCCTGGAAGGGTGGAGCTAAGCGGAGCGGTGGGAGTCGGAGAGGCCGGCAGGCTGCTGAGGCACAGGTGGGTCACATGACCTCTGAACTGCAGTGGAGTTTCTGAGCAGTGTGTGTGACAGATGTGTGTGTGTGTGCTCCAGGGTCAAAGGTCAGCGGCTGAGCGTGTTCGGAGAGGTGGGCTCAGTTTGCCCTCTGCTGGCCGTGGCAGGAACGACCTTCTTTTGCTTCACGCTGACGGATGAGTCGCGCTCGCTGCCCGTGCTCGTACAGGTACCAGCTCTCTGAGGATGATGATGGTGAGGAGGGACGATGAAGCTCAGTGTGTGTGTGTGTGTGTGCAGGACAGCAGCCGGCTCAGCTGGATCCAGCGTGTGTGTGTCGGGCAGAGCGTGTGTGTGACAGCTCTACGTGTGTGTGCGCTACGAGGCTGGAGAGGAAACAACATCCTGTGTGTGACGAAGCGCTCCGAGCTGCACGCCGACTACACGCACACACAGGAGCACACACAGGAACACACACACTCTGAGTCCCTGCTGTCACAGCCTGCTGAGGACGACTGTGAGGAGGCGGAGCATGAGGAGGTGGAGCTGGACCAATCAGCTGTGAGGATAAAGCACTCCAAAGTCATCAGCTACCAGGTGAGTGTGCTGTGAGCTCTGATTGGCTACTACATGTTTGTACCTGTGTGCTGATTACTTAGCCTCCTCTGCTGTGATAGGGCACGGTGACTGAGGTTGTGAGTGAGGGGGCGGGGCTCTACGTGCTGGATGGGAAGGTGGGTCTGTGCGTGGCCTATCAGCCGGCGGCGAAGAGGAAGCTGAGGGCGGGAGACAGAGTGGAGGTGAGTCACATGATGTGACATCATCATGCCCGTTTGTGTTCGTGGCAGCCACGACTAATAAAGTTTGATGGTTCCTCCTCCTGCAGTTGCATCACGCCCACTTCCTGTACCGGCCCTGCCCGGACTTCCCTCCCAGCATGCTTTGCACCTGCCTGCGCTCCAGCCTGAGGGTGACGGCCTTCAGCAGGGCGGGAGGCTCGCCACCTGACAACCGCTGCCCGGGAGATGGGGCGTTACCACGGTTACTGCTGCAGAGAAACACAGATGTGTCCGATTACCTGTGGACCTGTCACCTAAGCTCGCAGCTGGCACACAGGTGAGGCTCCACCCACCACCACCTGTCCACAGTCAGGGACAGCAGAGCCTAACCTTTGTCCTCCGCTGGCTCTGGCTTGTTTCCTGGTCCTGGTCTTGGTCCTCAGTCTGGTCCAAGGTGTGTGGAGGCAGCAGTGTGTGTGCTTGCTGTCCTGGAGGCTGATGGAGACTCTGAGCAGAGCTGGAGGACGAGGACGCAGAGACATCTACGCTGAGATGCTGGACGAGCCTCACACCTGTCCTGTGACGCAGGTAGGTCCCACTCTCACCTGTCTTCCTTACAGGTGAGTGTGGAGCATGCTCAGTGTGCTCTGTGTCCCTGCAGTACAGCGTGTCCTCGGCGGTCCGGCAGTACCTCGGTGTGTCGGAGCTCCTGGAGTCCCTGCAGACTGGCTGCTGGTCTTCGGCCCCTCTGAGCTCTCTGCTGCCCCCTGATGGCTCCAACCTGACCTCCTCCCAGATCAACGGGTTCCTGTCCTGGTCTTGCAGGACTCTGTCCTCCGAGCCTCAGGGTGGAGACGCTGTGAGGTAAGGTGACAGCAGCTCCCACATGAAGTCATGTGATTACGTACCAATGGTTTTTGCCGGTTTGTGTGTCAGGCAGCGCCCCCTGCTGCTGGTCGGCCTGCTGGAGCTGCCGTCACAGACGTCCGAGTTCAAACACTCGATGCAGCTCAGAGACGCCGCGGGAGCTGCAGCCTGCGTGCTGACGGAGAGCAGCGAGGAGGAGGGAGCGCAGAGGGCGGTCTTTAACAGCGCCTGGATCGGTACAATGCACGCACACAGACACACACAGTGACACACAGCTTTATTCTTTAATGTGTGTGTGTGTGTGTGTGTGTGTGCTGCAGGTTGTCTGGTGGGTGTGGTGCAGTTCACCATGGTGACAGAGAGATTCCTCCAATCAGATTTCCCCTCCTACCAACACCTGGACCAGGACAGGTTCATCACACACAAACACTGCAGGTACACACACACACAACCTGCAGCATGCTGACTGCTCATTGGTCCACTCTCTGTGATGTAAGAGGGCATCTGATTGGTTCAGGGTGTGAGCTTCCTTCCTGGTTGTAAACATTATGAGTTAAATAAAGCTGGGTTCAATTCACAGGGTTTACCTGCAGTTCTCTCTGGACCACCTGCACATCCTGAGTCCATCTGTTGCCATGGAGACACACCTGAGACACAAGGGGGAGGAGCCAGGAGGGGATGTCACTGCCAGGAAGCAGACAGTGGAAGAAGAAGAAGAGACTGCTGGGAGTAAGAGGAGGAGAAGAGAAGAAGAAGAAGCCGACTTCGGCAACCCCTGGCCCTGTGTCTCCATGGTGATCAGGGTGGAGCAGAAGGAGGGTGTGTCCTGGAGGAATACAGGGGCGGAGGCAGAGGATCAGGAGGCAGGGCTGAGACTGTGCTTCTCAGTGAAAGCTGCTGTGATTGGTCCAGTGGTCAGCTGGAGGCGGGACCCGAAGAATGAGCCAATGACAGAGAAAGAAAGTGAACAAAAGCAGGAGAGAAAGGTGAGAGACGCACCTGTGTGTGTTTACCTGAGCTCACCTGGATACACAGTTACATGTGTGTGTGTCTGTGTGCGTGCAGGTGGTGCTGGTGTTCTCAGGTGTGTGTACGCGGTGGTTTCCTGTCCTCCAGCCTGGATGTTTCTACAGACTCATCGCCGCTAACACTCAGGTATCAACCCAGCTTTGATGATGTCACTAAGGGGCGTGGCCAGAGGTTGGCCTCATCGGTCTCTGCTCTCTGATATTAGACACATGAACACGTTTTTCAGCTTTAACTGTAGTTGTTCACACACTGAGGTTAATTATGGAGTTCCACAGGGTTCAGTGCTTGGACCAGTTCTGTTTACATTATACATGCTTCCCTTAGGCAGCATCATCAAAACACAGCTTACATTTTTACTGCTATGCAGATGACTCCCACCATTCCTGTTTGTGGGGAGTTGATCTGACCTGAATCCTTGCAGCTGATTGGTCCATGTGTCTGTCAATCAGGATCCCAGTGTTTTGATTGGCTGTGGAGTTTCTGAGCGCAGTGGGGTGGATCTCCACGCTGAGTCAACCCTACAAGTCAGACGTGGTTGGAGATTCCACACTCTGACACGCCCACTGCTGCTGCCCACCTGCAGACAGGTAACACTCTGTTTGCTCCCCGTCTTCCTCCAGGACCCTTAAACTTTTTTTTTAGAGATTGACAGACCATGTGACTTTCATGCAGTGCATTGTGGGTACAAGTGGCAACAAAATCAAAACTGCATTAAGCGCTAGTATTTCCAGCACCGGTAATCATCAATTCTGTGGTTTTAATCCCTACTTGCATTTTATTTGCCCAAAAACAGTTCTGTACAAAACGACAGAGAACACGGCAGCTCTGTACAAAGACAGACGTGACGAAAAGGCAAAAAAAAAAGTAGAGGAAAAATCAAAGGAGTGAAAGGGTCAGACCCACACGAGCATACAGAGTGGAGTAAGGACGTTAGCCTGCTGCACAACTTTCATCACACACATATTTATTATTATATGGTCCTAAGTGTGAGTGCACACACTCACAACATGTTTAGTAACTTCAGATCCTGCAACAAACCCAGGTCCAGTTTACTTTGGTGATTTGGACTATTCCATCTCACAGCTGTAGCTCAGGTGGCAGAGCAGGTCAGCCAGTAATCAGAAGGTCGGTGGTTCGATCCCAGGCTGCCTCCTGCCTGCCTAAATATCCTTGGGCAAGATACTAACCCCATGTTTGCCTACTGGTGGTGGTCAGAGGGCCCCGTGCTGCCAGTGTCCGGCAGCCTCGCCTCTGTCAGTGCGCCCCAGGGTGGCTGTGGTGAATGTACAGTAGTGTAAAGCACTTTGGGGTCCTTAGGGACTAAGTAAACTATACAAATGCAGCCCATTTACCGTTTATTTAGCTGTTGTTAAATATTTTATCTCCTGTACAGGCCAACGCATCTATTTGTTGTTTCAGGTTGAAGTGTTACACAATAATAATAATGGATTGGATTTATATAGCGCTTTTCAAGGCACCCAAAGCGCTTTACAATGCCACTATTCATTCACTCTCACATTCACACACTGGTGGAGGCAGCTACGTTGTAGCCACAGCTGCCCTGGGGCAGACTGACAGAAGCAGGCTGCCATATCGCACCATCGGCCCCTCTGGCCAACACCAGTAGGCAAGTAGGGTAAAGTGTCTTGCCCAAGGACACAACGACCAGGACAGAGAGCCCGGGGATCGAACCAGCGACCTTCCGGTTACAGATACGCTTCCCCAACCCCCTGAGCCACGGTCGCCCAACATTTTCAGATCTAATAGAAATAAAATGAGTGTTTCATAATTCATTCAATTTATTCTCTTTATTTATAACTGGCATTATTGTTTCATTCAATTATAGAATCTTACAGGAAAGATTGTAAAAATCCATCAGCTTTATTAGCTGCTTCAGTGAAAAACAAATCAACAATGCAACAAAGAAAAAAACATTGCTAACAACATAGTAGAAAACAGTTATTCATCACTTGCTTGCTTCAATACAGCACTTGGGCACATATATTAGAGATAGATTAGATTAGATTAGATGAAACTTTATTAATCCCTCGGGTGGGTTCCTCCGGGAAATTCAGTTTCCAGTAGCAAAGCACCGAAAGAAGTTGCATGTTACAGATACATTAGGGGGAATGAGAGTAGGGATATAAGCATAAATACACCATATATACACATATATAGATACAGAATATACAATATGGATAAATAGGATTGCTCATTTGAGTGAGTATATTGCACAGTCAAATATAAGAAAAGGAAAAAGACAAAAAAAACCCAAAAACTAACATTGCAAATATTGCACAGTGTAGAAAGGCACCTACAACTCAGTTGTTCCCCCCTCCCTTGTTCCCCTGTTTCCCCTCCCTCTCCCCTCCAGAGAGGAGTTAAACAGTCTGATGGCGTGTGGGACAAAGGAGTTTTTAAGTCTGTTGGTTTTTGACTTTGGGAGAAGCAGCCTGTCACTGAATAGGCTCCTCTGATTGTTTACGACCGTGTGCAGAGGATGCCCAGCATTGTTCATAATGTCCAGCAGTTTAAGGTCCTCTTCTCTGCCACATATATGCGGATGTTTCGTGGCTCTCTCTCTTAACCGATCAGATCTGGCTGTGGTAGCAGCTTTAAACTCGGTCTGACCCAGGCTGATAGAGGGGCCCAGTCTGGATCACATTCCTGCATTTTGTTTCTGGTTTTCCTACAAAACACAACAAACATGAGCCCGCAAAGCCACAGTGAACAAAGCAGCATAGCAACGAATTCAACTCAAATCAATATAACACTTATTTGTAACCTACATCAACAATCATGTTATGATAAATTATGTAATAACTACAAAGGAAGACTTAATAATACAACACAGTTAATAATACAACAGCTTCTTGCCATTTTTGTGTTTCTTTTTATTACTGTGTGACTGTTTTCTTGTGAAAGCCTGCGTGCGCTAGTACCGCTTGCCACTCATTCCCAGAATCCTTTGCGGTTTTACCCCTGAATGACGTCACATTTTCCATCTCTATTCTCTGTGTTTTCAGGCCGTCCCACCCACAGTTTTGTCCGTCTCAGAGGTCTTAGACTGCAGGTAAACTGCTCGTCCCTCACTGAGTCGCCCCCTGTGGCCATCCGAGGAACTGCAGCTGCAGTCTGCTTTAAACTCCTACTGGTGTGTGTGTGTGTGTGTGTGTGTGTGTGTTTTAGCTCAGAGCTGGTGTGTTTTCAGGGTGTGGTGTCTGAAAGGATCAGTGTGAACAACAGGACCGCCCACTCTGGACACACACACTCAGGTACAAACTAGAGATGGCACGATACCACTTTTTTATGTCCGATACCGATACCGATATCATAAATTTGGATATCTGCCGATACCGATATGAATCCGATATAGTGTTTTTTAATCAACAAAACTGTTTTTTAAATATCTTGCTGCATTTTGTATAAGTTCATACTCAAGTTTAAAACAACAACTACACTAAAGCTATTCTGTTATACCTGTATGCAAAAAAAAATGTTTCATAGTTCAGCAATACTGATCAATCTAATAAACTTAAACCTACACCATCCTCCCTATTCTGGTATTTTAAAGAGTACTTAGCATAAATATTAAGCAACCTAACTAATAGGGTTCCAACTCCCAGCAACAACAAAAATAAATAAATAAAAAATAAGGAACCACCCCTCACGCGCCACCTCATGATGCCTAATCGACGTAATCAACATTAATTTGATGCAGTGTGAAAAAAAATGCACAGAAATCAATTATTTTTCAAGAAATATTAAATAGATTCAACATCTTTCTTCAACAGAATTGCAGACTGCACAGATGGTACCTTCCCAAAGGAAAAAGTACTATAGCTTACTAGGGTATATTAGACTTAATAGTTACTATATACAGTAATGGACTTCTATTCATTTTACATCAAATTAAAACTTTGGGTGTAAGATTCAGATAATTATTTATTAAAAGCTAGACATTTTAAATGAGAATAAGAAAGAAAAGTATGTCTTTGTGCCCCCTTTTCCCTGTTAATGCCCTATCGGCCCCCCTGGCTAAACTTTGCTAGATCCGCCCCTGCACAGTTACCAGCCGTCAGCTACGTAGAAAAAGATCCTGGTGTAGAAAGTAATATTAAATAAATTCTAACAACAGCTTATCAAGCTTAAACGTGCTGCTGTTGTTCAGCCGCTGGTTTCCTCTTTCTGGTGCGAAGTGGGCCAAAAACAAAGACGGACTCGCGACAGAAAAGCCGATCAGCTGATCATTAAGCAGTTTCACGATTGAAGTACCAGCCGGAGAGCGAGAGGCAGTCGCTCGTTAAGCTTAACGCAGGAATGCTTTACAAACATTCAGAGATGGACTTACACACTTGCTTTACTTCTCTCGGGGATAACTTTGTCGGAGATGAAATGCCGGGTTGCTAGCGAAGCTCCAAATGCTATCCAGACCACCAACAGGTCCCGCACGTGCTAACGTTCTGAGGTGAGTTACGGCGTGTTGCAAGTTTTGTGAGGTGCTTTCGTGATATTTAATGGATCGGATTACATTTTTTATTTTTCTCCGATATCCGATCCAGTAATTTAGGTCAGTATCGGACCGATACCGATACGTAATATCGGATCGGTCCATCTCTAGTACAAACACAGAGGTGGTTTGTGTATCAGGCTTTTCTGCTGTGAAGTTGTAACATGGGGTCTATGGGGGCGACTCACTGCTGCCTCTGCTGGACACTAGAGGAACTGCAGGCATCAGTGCTTCAGGTCTGAGTCTCAGGTCTGACTGTTAGCTGAATGTGTGTGTGCAGGTGTGCGTCTCACTCTTTGTGACCAAGCTGGGAGGAGTCTGCAGGTGTACCTGGACTTAAGCCACACCCCCTACCCACCTGGCCTGTTGCCGGGTAACACTCTGCTGTTGTCTGGTTTCCAGAGGAGGCTGTCCAGGTGAGACACACATAGACAGGCTTATAAAAGTTTGGACTCTTTATTTGGACTCATTTCCAACAATGTCACCCCCAATAAAGTTCTGGATCATCTTGCATCAATAGGCTGCTGGTTTTCTTTACTCGTTTCAGGTTACCAGCAAAATAGTTGTTTAATCATCTGGAATGTACCCAGATTTATTTATTTAGACAGAGATCTTGACCCCCCAATGTTCAATACAAAGTCACGCCGATGGTTACGTACCTGTGCGGTTTACCTGTGTGTTGGTTTCAGGACAGGAAGTGTGTACTGCACGTACTTACCTGTCAGCTCCATAACTGTGGTCTCCCTGGGAGACACCAGGTAAGTTTACAGGTAAAGTCTGGTTCACGTGTTTGTCGTGCTGTTGTTTATTTGTTTGTTTGGTTTCTATCAGCTCGGCCCAGCCTCCTCCTCCTGCTCCCATCATGCACCTGGGTGAGTGGGCTCTGAGCAGCAAGCAGAGGTGCGCTGTGGGACAGGTCAAAGGTCACGTGGTGTGTTTCCTGTTCCTGCAACTGCAGTGGAGCTGCTCGCTGTGTGGCAGCGTGTACACACAGGTACTGCATAAAATACACACAGTGTGTACAGGATGTGTTTAGTGTCAGTTTCTCGGGTGCAGTGAAAGTACTCAGAGTGCTTCATGTGTTGTTAGCGTGTTGGTGGCGTGTTAGTGTTGGTGCAGTAAGTAAAGTGTCGTTTTGGAGGAAACTGCTCACGATTTCAGGTGTGTGTGTTTACCTGTTGCTCTCTCTCTCTCAGGGCTGCAGCAGCTCTCAGTGTCACTCGACCTCGTCAGTGTTTCAGTCCAAAGCAAAGTAAGAGCAGCTTCCTGTTGAGCTCACCTGCTGATACGTGTTAATCACCTGGATGAGTCAGGTGACAGTCACATGATCAAACCATGTGGCTCTGCTCTTCCATCAGGCTGGTGATCGATGACGGGACAGGTGAGGCTCACGTCTGGTTCTCAGCTGCTCTGGTTCGTGCTCTGCTGGGATTGGCTGATGCTCAGTGGGAGGGGCTTCAGAGAGCTCTCAGGGTCAGAGGTCACATCAGAGTCTTCCCTCGTGGGCAGAGCCAGGTCAGTAGCACCTGTCAGGTGTATATGTTTACCTGTCACAGGTGAGTCACGTGCTCATCGTCGTCTTTAAGCTTTATTTTGTCTTTAAAATTTAAGATGAGGCTTTAACTGTGAAAGGGCACATCCTGTTTGCATCCTGGTAACAGCTCCGTCTGCTCACACCTTACTGCTGAACTGGTTTGGGGGCGTGGCCACTTCCACCTTTAAAAGTCTGTAGGTGTGACGGACCCACGCTGGGCTCACGTGAACAGGAGGGAGGGGCCTTACAGCCGTGTGTTTCAGCGAGACTCAGGTCGTGCCCCTGACTCCACCCACTCGACCTGATGAAGCAGCAGGTGGTGTAGTTCTGAGGGTAATCAGGGCTGACTGTGAATGCCACACCTTCCACATGGAGGGTGGAGACCACAGGGGAGGGGCAGGACAGCGAGAGGCATTTAGGACTCGGGTCACACCAGGAGAACCCACAGGGCCCCTCCACCCACAGGTGGAGCTGTGTTAAAAGACCCTGCAGACTGAAACGTCCTGTGGTCAGAGGAGGTGAAACGAGAAGAAGATGCAGCTACAACCCAAAGAACAGCGTCCACACAGTGAAGCACGGTGGGGACGCTGTGGGGGGGCCACCACAGAGAGAAACAGGCGTCCTGCAGGACGTTTCCACAGGGCCGAGCCGTGAGTCTGCAGAGACATAACCTCTGTGTCTGTCTCAGGTGTGTGACGGGGACGCTGACGACTTCCTCCTCCACTTCCTGTTGTGTCTGTGCAGCAGCGATGTCATGATTCGGCCGCTCAGCCTCACCTGCAGGAAACACACCAACCAGAGACCAGAAGGTAACCCCACCCTCACACACCACCCTCACCACCCTGACTGCAACCTTCAGAGTCGTGTGTGTGTGTGTTTCAGAGGTGAGGAGGTTCACTCGAGGAGACAGAGAGTTCCTGACCAGACTGGCTCCTCCCCTTCAGCTCACCTGTCTGCACCTCCACCCTGACTGAGCTCCACCTGCTTCGTTCTGACTTCATCTGTTCTACGTGTTCGTACAAATAAAACTTTATTGTTCCTCCTCCTGTCACACGGTATCTCACCTTCACTGACCCTGACGCTGGTGATCAGGGTCAGAGGTCACACGAAGCTCTCTGGGTTTAACAGGTCATGTGACCCTTCTACAGGAAGTGATCCCTGTGAGTGGCGCCCACATCGGAGACGTTCTCAGATTCATGAAACCTAATTGGTAAAACTAAACACTGAACGTGTTTCGGTTTGTTTACAGAGGTCAGACGGTGAAAGCTTCAGCCTGACCAGGAAACAATCAGTCCTCTTTAAATCACACTTACTTTAAATGAATTCCTCCTCACCTTCATGTGTTTTGTATTATTGCATCTTATACTGAAAGAGTTCATCCATCGACACATTTTAACCCTGCAACATTTCACCGTGTCAGTTTGTCATAAATTTTAGGATTTCAGTTCATCTTTCCAATAAAGCTGGCAGCTCTGAAACAGCTGTTCTCTCTGAGGCTGTTTTGCATGTAAATAAAAGTGAAATAATTAAATGTTCTGTGAACAGACCGTCCAGTGGAGCTCCTCAGGGCTCTGTGCTTTCACCACTTTGTTTTCTACGCTAATGAGTGTCAGAGCACGTCAGCATCAGTCCTTCAACATGGTCACAGCCTCTGATGAAGGTGTTCAAATGTGGCTTTTAATCCAGGTTTACACTTAAACAGTCTCCATGAAACGGGCCTCTGCCCTCATTCATCCTGGAGATCACTCGTCTAAACCAACCAACATAAAGAACGTGATGTTTTCAAAGCGAACACGCACACACAGTTGTTATGGATACGATTAAATGTAGGAGCGATGATTCGTGAAATCCTACATGTGTGTTCTAACATGCTTTAATGATGGCACGAGCTGACAATGAATAACATAAAGTTAATAGTTAATCTGCAACAAAACTTTGTCACCGCTTCAGTTTTTGGTCTTTTCCACATACGGTTGTTGTTGTCATGGAAACAGAAACCAATCGGGCCTTGGATGGACGTCGGGAGTTCTTAACAGCAGCTCGTTGTTCATTCTGATGTTGTTTTTTAATTATATTTTATATTTAATATCATATATTGGCCTTTTTCAGCTTTATCTGAAGGGCCACGGGTCAGACTCCAGCTGGGCCTGCCGCTCTCAGCCTCACTCTGAGGAAGCCCACAGTCTCACAGTGGAAACTACACCGGGGGACCCCATCCTTGGGGTGGACCCATTTTTGTTGTAGCGTGTTTTGGGGTTTAAAAGCCACAGAGACGCGGTGCTTAGGAAAAATGCATTTCAGCTGTGCTGATGCTCCTGACACGTTGGAACGTTGGGTTGTGTTGCGTGGTTGAGAGGAGGCGGCAAAACACCTAGCAGGCTAGTCGGAAGAACACACACCCACGCTGGTATCGGTAATCCACGGTGGTTCTTTAATACGCCTTCTTCAACAACCATATAAAAGCCCGGCTGAACGGCTGCGGCTCAACAACATAACGCCCAGCGTTCATACAACCCAAGCGTTGCAAACAAAACAAGAAGAAAACGTAAATCCGTCCCTCGTTAAGCAGAAGCGTGCAGGCACGTGTCCTCATAATCCCAGAGAGAGAGAGCAGCGGCACAAACTGATGACACCATCAACCCTCGACTTGGGTGTCTTAAAGGGACACCGCACCATAGTGGCTGTCACTACGTATAAGACTGGGGAAACCTGCATTCAGCTGGACCTGAAACACACTATGTCCAGATAAACACAATCAACTTTTGGAGAAAAATAAAAGATTCTTCATCAGACTAACAACTAAAAACATGACACTTACCTTAACAGTATGGGCTACATCAAATATATTCAAGACCGACAACAACACTTCTCACTGCTGCTAATTTTAACAAAACTAAACAAAAAGTAGAAAAAGGCAATTCACCAAGTCTTGAAAAGTAAAACTGAAAAATAGAAACACAGAATAAAATATCCATCCAGGGCACTGTTTCAGGGTGT